TTAGACTGGGCTGGCGTTGTTCAGTGGTTGAGCATCAACCTATGAACCAGAAGGTCGAGGTTCAATTCAGGGTCAGGACACATGCCTGGGTTGTGGGGCTCGATTCCCAGTGTGGGGTTTGCAGGAGGCAGCCGATCAATGATTCTCATCATTCATGTTTCTCTCTCTCTCCCTCTCTGAAATAAATAAGTACATATATATATATTAAATGTTATATATATATATATATATATATATATATATTAAAATCACTTCTAAAAGACTACCTCTGCATACTACCTCTGCATACTGCAAATGCACTCAGAAAAGCATGTTCTTTTCCAGAAATTAAAAAAATTAGGAGCAGTACATGCAATCCACATTAGGGACTTTCATGCTTAAGCTTTATTTTTTTTTTTTTTTAAATATATTTTATTGATCTTCCACAGAGAGAAAGGGAGAGGGATAGAGAGTTAGAAACATCGATGAGAGAGAAACATCGACCAGCCGCCTCCTGCACATCTCCCACTGGGGATGTGCCCGCAACCAACGCACATGCCCTTGACCGGAATCGAACCCGGGACCCTTCAGTCCGCAGGCTGACGCTCTATCCACTGAGCCAAACCGGTTTCGGCCATGCTTAAGCTTTAAAGCAAAATGATTTTACAAACAGAAAAAAGTTCTGCATAGATATATGTCATATAAATGGTGACATCAGGAATAGAGAGAGGGTCGGATGGATAATGAAAGGTTTGGAGAACTTCTGTTTGGTACACTATATACTTCTATATTGTTTCAATTTTAAATTACATTTCAACCAGTCAAAATCAAACAACCACCTGAAATCCAGATGGTATGAAATAATTTTACTTCCTTTATCCTTTTTTGAACTTGAACATCTCAAAATAATCTTTCTGAGAATCCAAAGAAGCATTTATAAAATTATGATAAAAAACAAAAGATCTTTCCCTGCCAATAGAGCTCTCGCAAACATGGTGAACGTTCCTAAAACCCGCCGAACTTTCTGTAAGAAGTGTGGCAAGCACCAACCCCACCAAGTAACACAGTACGATAAGGGCAAGGATTCTCTGTATGCGCAGAGGAAAGCAGCGTTATGACAGGGAGCAGAGTGACTATCGTGGGCAAACTAAGCCGATTTTCGGAAAAAAAGGCTAAAACTATAAAGAAGATTGTGCTGAAGCTTGAATGCATTGAGCCTAACTGCAGATCTAAGAGAATGCTGGCTGTTAAGAGATGCAAGCATTGTGAACTGGGAGGAGATAAGAAGAGAAAGGGTCAAGTGATCCAGTTCTAAGCTTCATATTTTGTTTTATTATACGACAATAAAATCTTGATATGTTCAAAACAACAACAAAAGAGCCCTAGCAGGTTTGGCTCAGTGGATAGAGTGTCGGCCTGCAGACTAAAGGGCCCTGGGTTTGATACCAGTCAAGGGTACATGCCTGGGTTGTGGGCTTGATCCCCAGTAGGGGGCGTTCAGGAGGCAGCTGATCAATGATTTTCTCTCATCATTGATGTTTCTCTCTCTCTTCCTCTCTGAAATCAATTAAAAAATATTTTTTTTAAAAAAAAAGAGCTAGACACAACTGCTTTTGAATTTAGTATAGCAGCTATAGTAAATTACTATGAAAAAAGCAAATAGTGAAAAGTTATAATACTGCCCTAGCTGGTTTGGCTCAGTAGTTAAGAGCTTTGGTCTGCAGACTGAAGGGTCCCAGGGTGTGATACCCAGTCGGGGGCATGCAGGAAGCAGCTGATCAATGATTCTCTCCCCTCATTTATGTTTCTCTCTCTCTCCCCTTCTCCCTTCCTCTCTGAAATCAATAAAAATATATTTAATTAAAAATTATAACACTGACTTTAGGTAGAACAATGCAATTGAACAATAGCAGGTAATAATTCTGAAGTATAAGAAACAAAAAACATAAAAATATAAGCTATGTGCTCTTAAAACACAAATGGATTTAACAGAATCAATGTATCAGAAAAAATATTTTTGAACCCAAAAGCTCTAGAAAAATATTCAAGGTAAATTAACAACCAAAATCAATGTCATAAATATGAACTAAAGAAAGTACATCGTAAGTGCCCATCAGATGAGTGGATTAAAAAACTGTGGTACATCTACACAATGGAATAGTACACTGTGGTAAAAAAGAAGGAATTCTTGCCATTTGCAACAGCATGGATGGAACTGGAGAGCATTATGCTAAGTGAAATAAGCCAGTCAGAGAAAGATAAATACAACATGATCTCACTCATTTGTGGAATATAGAGAACAACACAGACTGATGAACAGGGACAGATCCAAAGACAGAGAAACAGCAATCAGACTATCAATCCCCAGAGGGAAAGTAGGGGAGGGTGGGGGTAAGGGGAAGAGATCAACTAAAGGACTTGTATGCATGCATATAAGCCAAACCAATGGACACGGACAACGGGGATGAGAACATGAGTGGAGGGGAGGAAGGTTGGGGGTTAATGGGGGGATGAGAACACATTTGAAATACCTTAACCAATGAAGAAATTAAAGATAAAAAAAAACACATCATAGAAATTAAAGATGCTGTACACAGTGTATCCAAATAAACACCCTATATATGCACAAATGAAAAAAATCACCTTTGATGACAGAGTCTTTTCTCCTAAAGTAAAAATATTTGCTTTAAACACTGCACTATTTAAAGGGCTATGGTGTATTAGTGAGGCAGCATGGTAGGGAAAGTGCACTGAAGTAGAAATAGAAACTTGGGCATCTTCGTTTGAGTCCCCTGCTGTATCAATATATGACTCTGGGCACATTATTTAACTTCCCTGAGACTCAGTTTCCTCATTAGTAGAATAGGGATAATAATTACTACCCTATCTACTTCACAAAGGGTTTCTATAATGCTTAAATGAGGTAAGAGATGAACTTTTATAGGCTGCCATGTGCACTCTACGAAGATATTAGACCACATGATCTCTTAAGGCCTTTCTAACTCTTAATTCTGTAATTTTACTTTTATTGTTGTACAAATGAGGAGCCATGTAAGGAATCTACCAACATAGCCAAATGAGGTGGGTTTATCCTGAAGCAATAGCTGAGGTACTACTACTACCTGACACATAGCATTATAATACTTAAGGTATCAGCACTGTAATGCTTATGGTATTACATAGCATTATTACCATGTGTTGGGCACTGTTCTTATTGTTTTGCATGCATTGACTCATTTAATTTTCACAGCAACAGAAAATGGTGATCTCACCACTGACAAATCACAAGTGAAAAGGCCACACTGCCTTATGAAATGTTTGACTTATATTTCTATATATCATAGTGCTTCAAGGTATTTTTCACATTTTATTTGATTCTTATAAGCAACCCATGAGTTAAATAGGACAGGTATTTTTCCCCCTATGTTACAGAGGAGGAAACCAAAGCCGGGTTCCTTGCCCAAGATCAAAAGGGTAATTGCAATCAAAACTAGATCCTAATCTAGGATTTTTCAATCACCATACTACCTCTGCAACTAAAATGTACAGATGAGCCCTGGCTGATGTGGCTCAATTGGTTGAGTGTCTTCTCATGTACCAAGAGGTAACAGGTTTGATATCCCCTCAGGGCACATGCCCAGGTTGCAGACTTGAATCCCAGCAGGGGCATGCAGGAGGCAGCCAATCCATGTTTTTCTCTCTCCCTCTCTCTCTAAAATCAATAAAAACATTTAAATAAATAGATAAAATGAACATATATGAAACTATGAATTATGATCAACCCAACATAATTTCTTACAAGCTACTCATTAATGTAAAAACTCTAACTACTAAACTCTGAAATATTTGAAGACAAAATTGTTGCTATAATGCGAAATAACTTCTTGAATTGGTTGTCAAAAATATAGTATGGCAGCCCAGCTGGCATAGCTCAGTGGTTGAGAGTGGTTGAAGGAGGAGGTCATGGTTTGATTCCCAGTCAGGGCAGTAGCCTGGGATGCAAGCTCAATCCCCAGTGCGGGGTGTGCAGGAGGCAGCCGATCAATGATTCTCATCATTGATGTTTCTCTCTCCCTTCCTCTCTGAAATCAATAAAAATGTATTTTAAAAAAATACAGTAGGGCATCCCTGGCCAACGTGGCTCAATTGGTTGGAACATCATCCGGTACACCAAAAAGGTGGCAGGTTTGATTCCTGATCAGGGCACATACCCAGGTTGCAGGTTCTATCCCTGGTCGGGACGCATTCGGGAGGCAACTGATCTATGTTTCTCTCTCCCTTCCTTTCCATAAAATCAATTTTAAAAATTCAGTAGGGCAAAATAAGTTGGTAGCAAGAAGTCTAAATTATTAATTGTTCTTAAGAGTATATTTAAATTAAACACTTCAAGTACAGACCCATTGCTAAGCATGAAAAACAAACCTGGACCTCATGCCAAGTTGCTGGGCTACAACCTGCAGCTCATTTTTTTGGGTAAGGTGTGTCCCAGAAGGTAAGAAGAACATAAAAAGAAAAGAAATGTCAAAAGGCTAACAGGAAGGAAGTAGACAAAAGTATATGGAGAATATCTGCATTTTTTTGAGGCCTTTCCCATAGGTGAGTAACACAACTTAGCAAGTACAACAGAAGGACATGTCACCAGAAATCATCTTTGGGATTCAGGTATAGGTAAAACTCTATTATATGAAAGTACTCCTAATTGTAAATCCTAATCAGAAGGAGACAAGCCCAATTTATACCAATATGATTGTACCCATAGCTTATTAAAGTGTGCATAAATTAATAAGAAATTGTAATTTAAGGGGAACCAAAAGGCTACATAAGGACCCATATTAGGGAGAACACTTCGTAAAGTATATGATTGTCTAACCACTATGCTATACAGATGAAACTAATACAGAATAATATTAAATGTAAACTAAAATTGGAAAAATTTCTAAATGTAAAACCATAAAGTAAAAGTCATATACATACATCTCGGTTTACACTGACCAAAGCTGGTTATCCACATTAATACATACCTGATAGAGTTCTTCTAAATTGTACTTAATCGAAGTACTATTCTGGATAGCTTCTACTGCTTCTTTCAGTTTCTGCCATGTTTCATCTGTGTAGTTTTCTGGTAATTTAGGCTTATCTAGATAATATATAAAAAGTTGGTATCAGAATAATATGTAGGATAGAGTAACACAACTTATCAGAGCAACAGAAGGATCCATAAAATACAATAATATTACTACTTTTTAAGGGTAAATTGTGATCTTTATAATTATTACACCTGAATATTAAAGTAACCGCTGTATTTAGGCTTAGTATAAAGAATAAAGTTTGAAATGGGAGAATACTATTTAAGTCATTTTGAGTCACCTATTAAAACTGAAAGTGAGGTTTCTTTCTACTGTATTGTTTCAAAAAATAAAAATTCAAGAATGACAAATAAAAAAAGCAATCCTGATCTTATTCCATCATGTGTAAAACCTCAGTCAGTCAACATGAATTTTATACCTGAGTTTTAAAATACTGAGAACCTATTATGTACAAGGTACTTTATAAACATCTTAATTTTTCTAATAATGCTTTGAGCAAGGTATCTTTTTCCCTATTTTGCAACTGAGAAAACTGAGGCTGGAAGATTTATTTAGTAAGGTTTGCCCAAGGTCACTATAGTCAGTCAGTGGCAAAATTGGGATTCTAATCCAAGTCTGTTTGGCCCCCACATTTATGCAGGGTCTACATAAATGGAGACAACCATTTTTAATTCAGGTTTGAATTTAAACTACATTTATGAGCACAGTGAGATTTTTAAAAATCAAAACACCCCAATGACTTCAGAACTATGTAGTATTTTCAGAAAGGAAAGGAACATATTAATCCAGTCTTTAAATTTCCTTTATTAGCAACGAGTATTTTTTTAAATTAAAACATATAAATGCCTTAATAATGTGTTTTCTATTTAAGAGGGAGAGAAAAAATCCAAACAAAATCTCTGAAACCAGTATACAAATGCATTAGGATCATAGCTCATCCCTTAAAAAACCCTTGGCTATTAAATCAATGTATTTTAAGTGAAACAGTGAACACATTAGTCAACTGTAATTTATATCTACTTCAGAAAAGTCTACTATTAAATTAAGAAGATTACAACACTCTTGAGAGCCTGAGAATGGAAGAGGAGTGACAGAAAAGAAAAGGTTAAAAATAAACAACACTATAACCCTCTACTTGAGACAAAATAGAGCATAGTCCTGATTTCCAAATTAATGTTGAAAACACAAGCATGGGAAATCTATTTTCCCAATATTGATATTTAGTCACAAGGCACTAATCTGGTAATTACTTTAGTTCATTCATTTACTTCTCCATTTAACAGTTTAGCATCTATTACCTGCCAGTTAAGAGTGTTGAAAAAGTCAGAAAAATAGAAACACAGACCACAGATGCAAACTAATTCAGCTCAATTGACATTTTTTAAATCACTAATTTTCTTGTATCAATGTATTCATAATACTCTCAATCACATATATCAAACAGAAAAACGAACAAATGTTCTGAAAAGCTGCAGGTCAGTACTTTAAAACCCATTTTAATGATAAAATATAGGTATAGTAATTTTTCCTATCTTTAGACTAGTGGTAAAGAGAGTTACTACTTCTGTGTATATACAGCATTTTTCACTTCCAAACCCTACCTTTGGAAAGAAATGCAGAGATCATAAATATTTTTCTCCAAATATTGCTTCCACAGTGAGTTTCAAGAATATAGTATTCAACATTATGAATCTAACTATAAATCTTTGAGCATGAAATGATCATCATTGCTACCTGCATTTCTAGAAACTGGAGAATGTGGCCTACTGGAGCACAAAAATAAAAATCCTAGCAGTGCCAAGACTATGTACCTGAAATAAAGAAAGCTCTTTAGAATATAAATCTCTCACCTGTAAAATCCGGATCACTCATACCGAATGTCAATATTATAAGGAATAACAGATTAGCTACAATAAGCTGAGATAGATCTCAAAATCCTGCACAGAAACACCCAGTGTATGCTTCAGCACCAGGATACCAACCACCCCCGGAAAATGAACCCTCCACCCAAAAAAGGACCTCCCTCCACTTCATTGATTATGCATAAAACATTAGGCCACCTCTATTCAGTTTAATATATTAACATAAATAGGCACGTGACCGCTCAAGTGTCAAATTCTTAGGTGATTATGGATTTTAGCCTTGGTTACCTTTAAAGTTCTTGATCACTAACTTCTTAGCAGAGCCAGGCTTGCTGTTAGCAAAGCTAGAGGTGGTGGTAGAAGATTTAGCCAGGCCGTTAGCGTGATGCCCTGAAGCCACAGAAGAGATTAATATACTCTTATTTTTAACTTGCTGCTGCTGAGATGTTGCAGCAGTTGGTGAAGATGAGGAGGAGGAGGAGGAAGATTCCTCAGCCATCTTCGCATCAAATCCTACAAACTCCAGGGTGTCTTCAAACCGCAGCTTCTTCTGTATCGGTACGTGGCTGGAAGCAGCTAACGAAACCCCCACGCAGAAAGACGAGGTTGAAGGGGATGCCGAATCCCTAGGTGGTAAAGGAGGAGTAGAAGAGGAGGGAGAGGTGGAATCAAAGTCGTCTCTCTCGTTACTACTGTTACTGCCGCTGCTGCTGCTGCTGCTATTTAACTTTCTCTTCTTGGCAGAGGTGGGCGGAGTGGTGCTGGTATTACCATCAGTGGCAGATCTGACCTCCTGAGCAGCAGCAGCAGCTGAGGGATTAGGGGAAGAAAAACCTGTTGGAAACATGAAAATAGCGCGGTCAACAGGCAGAGGAGCATCAAAAACCTACGTTTATGTGCCTGCGTGCGTGTCGGAGAGAAGGTGGCAATGCTAGAGGGGGAAGGGAAGAAAGAAGAGAGGAGAAACACAGAGGACAAGAAGGAAAGTGAAGGGGGGGTTACACCGGGGGAATGGGAGGGTTTGGGAAGGCGGATAGGCTGACACCAGGAGCGAACAGAACAAGGGGGGAGAGCGAATGAGAAGGCAGACAGGTAAACGGCCAAACCGTCCGCCTTTCCTGCTTTTCGGTCTCTCTCTCCCCCCCCTTGCTGCAGGAGCGACTCAGTGAGTCTGTGAGGCGGCAGCTCCTCCCCCCTTCTCTCCCTCTAGGAGGGAGGGGAGCTGCCCGGGTTGGGGGGAGGGGGAGCGAGCTGGGGCTTGTTATTGTCGAGAGCACGAGAGGCTAAAGATGGCGCTACTTCCGGTCACGCGGCAGAGAGCGGGGCGGTGTCAGAACCGGAGAGTCGGAGCGGGGTGGAGAGAAGCACTGCGGTCTCCAGGGGGGCGGAGGAGCTGGCAGGCGGCGGGAAAGCAGCGACCGAGGTGCTCTAGACGCTCGGACTCTAGGGCTCTCGCTCGCTCTCTCCCCTCGCTCGCTCCCCTAACTCTCCCGCCCGCCGCACTCTCCCGCCCCGCTTCACTCTCCCGCTCCCCCTTCTCACTCTCCCGGGCCCCCTTTCACTCTCCTGCCCCCCTCTCACTCTCTTGCTCCCTCTTCTCATTCCCTCTCACCCCGAGCCAGGCAGCGCTCTCCTCACCCTGCTCCCGGACAACTCCCAACGGCTCCTTAACGGTCCCGCGGGAAGCTCCGTGCCGCAGCGCTCTTACCGGAAGTGACTGAAGAGATACTTTTCATAGCTCCAGATTCTGAAGCCCCCAGGTCCGCAGGACTTGGGGGGTGTGGGGGAGGGGGAAAGGGGTGAGAGCTTTGGACCCGGCGGAGGGGGCGGGCCTTGGGACACCTTCGGAGCTACTGATTGGAGCTTTGTGAGCGCAAGGCCGGCGCGGGGCGGGGGGAGTAAGGTGGTGGGAGACGGGATCCGGACGGATCCCGAAAGGGAGGGAAGGTGGTGACTGTGAGGGGCGGGGTGAGCTGGATGGGAAAATAGGGGAGGAGGGAAAGAGGGATGGAGAAAGGGAGGAAGTAAGGAGTGAGGGAAGGGAGAATGGAAACTTTGAAAGAGATAAAGGAATAAGGAGGAGTTGCAAGGCACGGGAAGGAGTAAGCCTAAGTGGATAAAAACATGCCACTATGTCTGCTGCTAGGGAGGAATGTCAGGACAGGAATGAGAAAACAGTTTAGATAACAAGAAAAGGAGTTTTTGATTTGGTTGAGCTGTGAATTGTTTCGCTTATGTCAAGGACACTAATGAGCCAATACTGAATAGGGCCTGAGTTTTTATATCTTTCTCAGTTATGTCGCTGCGAATCTTTTTCCCTCCCTACCAAGAACATTTTATAAGATGGCAAGCCAAAGTTAAAGGTGCATTCTAAAGCTGAAAAACAGGAAGGTAACTAACATCACCCCCCACACACACATACATACACACCACAATTCCCAGGACCAACCCGACCCCATCAGTCATTAACCCGAGAGTGTAAAGACTAAACAAAGTCACTTAATTTTACTAAATCTCAGCTCATATACGTTGTCTAAAAGAAGAAATTTTAGAATATTTGTTAAAAATATTAAAACAATGTTTTCTATCATTGTATTCTACGACCCAAAGTTTTGATTACTCATAAGAACAAACCTCTAAATTTTGTTAAATTATAAACCTTGTAAATTTCCCTGCTGGGAGTTTTTATTTAACCTGAGAACATTAGGGGGCAGAGAATACAATGTCAAATAAAGCTAAATTTGCCAACCTGTTGATTATTCTAACTGGAGAAACATTCAACAAGCATGTATTGAAAGACTTTATATGCCAGAAGTTATGTCAGGCCCTGCCAGTGAGAAGCCAGTGAGGTAAGAGAATTTCAAAACTAATTTCCATATACTACTCTAACAGGTGTACAAAGTGCTGTGGAAATAGGTGAAACAAGAAATTTGGGGGAATTTTGTAATGGAGTTTCACAGAATTGACATTCATGCTGGGTCTCAAAGTGGGAGTTTCCAAAAAGACAAGAGGAGAAACAAGGTAAAAGGCATTTTAGGCAGTGGAAAACAGGCAAAGGAGGGAGTTGTGAGAAGGCCTTGCCTATTTATAGAAATATGGAAAGTGTAGTGGGGCTGGAAAGTAGGATGTGTCTGGTTGGAAGTAAGGAAGGTGAGGCTCAGGAGTGCCTGGCACAAAAAGTCAAAAATTTTGGAGTCTACCCTGTAAACTGGAATAGACAGCATGGAAACCAGCAAGCAAGCTGGGCTTTTAAAAGCAGGGAAGTGACAGGATTGTGGGTGGAATAAAAGCAGTTTGTTCCCTGGCTAGTGTGGCTCAGTAGTTAGAAAGTCGGCCCTCAGTCTTGGGTTTGATTCCTGGTCAAGGGCATGTACCTGGGTTGCAGGTTAGATCCCTGGTCTGGTGTGTGCAGGAGGCAACCAATTGAAAAGTCTGACATAGAGTTTCTCTCTCCTTCTTCGCTCCCTCCCTTCCATTGTCTCTAAAAATCAGTGGAAAAAAATGTTCTTGGGTGAGGATTAACGAAAAAAAATTCTTTTTTAAAAAGCAGTTTGTATCCTATAACTTGAGATAGACCTATCAGAACCCTAAGAATAAATAAATTTTCTAACTTTGTTTGCACAGGCTCCGTTTATTCTTTTTGATTGTTTTTGTTTTCACTTTGCTTTTGTCTTGAAAATTCCTTAGTTAAAATGCAAATCCTCCTAGAAAAGGTACCACAATGGGCCATTATCAGCTTTGTGTTGTTTGATGAGCCAGCTGAGAGCAAGGCTCTATGGAATTTAGGCTCCTGAGCCACACAAAAATAGGAAGATAGAGGCCTGAAAGGGGGAAGATAGACTCCTGTCTGTTTTTAATGTACCATATCTTAGTGCCTAATAGGTGACTGTAAACTCTTAAGACCAAGGAAGGTATCCGAAAATATTAAATTCTTCTTTATTGTGTCTCACATTTCACAGGATGCTGAACATGTGTATATGCAGAGTAAATACTTATTGAATGGAATATTTCACTGAATGAGAATAAAATAATGTCATGGAGGACTAACTGGTTAATTTTCGGGATTATGAACAAGGTTGTTCTAATTCATGCAGTTATATTCCTAAAATGCGTGTATGGATGGATCAGCTGATAATGCCCTAAAAGTACCTCTACTGGGACGATTTGCATTTTAACCAAGAACTTTGCAAAACAAAAAAGTGGGTCCTGTTCTAATTCATGAATTATATTCCTTAGAATGATGTATGGAAGTGCTAGCTATTTTTAAAATGACAAATATTAGTGCAACTGAAAGGCAATGGACATAAAGATAAAAGAAAACTGGTTTGCCACACAAAGATAAACTTTTATAAGTAACATAAAGGATAGGCTGAGGCCTGTTAATATTCAACTACATTCTAGTAATAATAGCTCCTAATCTGACATGGTTATCTAAATCCTTCACTCTCTGGAGTTGTGTGTTAGTTATGAAAGCACAGATCCTTGGCTCTTGAGCTCTAGTTTAATTTCAATGGTCCAATAGTCCAACCTACTATTTAAGTTTTCTGTGAAATAGCCTCAAGTGAGTTTTATGGGAAAAATATTTTTC